CTTGAGAACAAGGATAGCGCAGAGGGGAAGGGTGACCGTGACGGGGAGAGGGAAAACATACCGTCTGATGAAGACGATGTCGATTGAGTTACATGTGGACAGAGCGCCTGACGCAAGCGAACAAGGTAGATGGTTGATACCCAATGATAGAGAGCATGTTGTCTATCATCAATAACACGACATTCCACTCTACAAACACCACGAAGTCTAGGAAACAAGATCGGCCGTCTGCATGTTGAGTTTTTTTTGTCTTTTCATTTGTGCACAGTGTGCATGCTATCTTATCTTTTCTCCAGCATTGAGCTGGGCGCGATCTCTTATCCATTCCGTGCCCGCGCACGTATCTCACGACAACAGCGACAACGACCTCTTCGCGGGCGACCGCCCACTCCACCATACCCACCACCGCCCATCAGAGCGTGATGCTGCTGACACGGTCCTCCAGCTCGATGTCTCGCTGGCCGGGGCGCCCGCCCATGCCAGCGTGCCAGTCCTCGGGGATCTGGCCGGGGCGTGTCCTCATCCCCAGTTCGCCCTTGGCCACCTTTGTGACCAAGAGACAGCCGCTGACAAGGCAGGCGGCGACGGCGAAGCCCACGAGGGCGACGAAGGACCAAGCGAACGCGTTGTCCAAGGCGGTGATCGACGCCGCAAAGAGCGCCGGCGTCACCTTGCTGTCGACAAAGGTGTAGCCGAGGAGGAGGACCAGGGCGTTGTCGGCAGTGGCTGGGTAGGCGCTGTCGTTGGCTTGTTCCAGTAAGGCGAACTGCGCACGGGGACCGACGTGCATGAAAATGTTGCCCGTGATTGTCAGGGAGACAGCGGCGCCGAGGTACATCGCAAACAGCACGAATGCACGGTTGTGGAGCGGGTGCTTCTGGCGCGCGTCCTGGGCGCCTCTCACGAATGGCGATTGAAGCAAGTCCATGAGCTGATGGGCCATTGACAAGGTAATCGTCGACCAGAAGCCGATGCAAGCAAGAGAGAATTCTTTTGCGACGGTTGGAAGGCCGTCTGAAGCCGGGAACACGGAGGGCATGTTGATATAGAGCAGGACGGTGCCGGCGAGAAGGAAGACCGATGAGATGACGCTCCAGAAGCTGTAGCTTGGGACCGCTGGGTAACGGGTGATCAAGCCGCCGCCGATGTACACTGGGATGAGCAAGACCGGGATCAAGTATGGACCGGTGGTGGTGAACAAGAGGTAGAACGCCGTTGTGACTGCTGAAGGCTGAGGACGCGTGAACATCTGATAGAGCGCAGTGTAGGGGATCGCGGTCTGGAAGATGGCAGCAGTCAAAAAAATGAGCACGAAAAGCGCCATGGTCTTGAAGTGTCGCAGATACTCCACAGGGAACAGCCGAGTCGACGGTGAATTGAAGATCTTGTAGGCTTGCTGAAGGATAAGCAAGACCACCAAGATGATGCCGACGATCAAGGGAACGTAAAGGTGTCCATTTGTCCAGGGGTTCAAGGTGCCGGTGAAGTTGAATGTGATCAACAGAGTGATGATGCCGAAGAAACTAAGCAAACCACCTAGGGTGTCGGTACAGTTGAGGCGATGGTTCCAGTTGAATACCGGTCCGCAAGCCCAGGGCGCATTCGCAGCAAGCTCAACCTCTGTCGGAAGGAGGTGGAACAGGAAAGCCAAGACCAGGGTGAGAAGGACGAAGGCGGTGTAGAATCCCCAGGACCAGTTCTTGTCTCGATGAGCAAAGATAGAGCCGAAGATGGGACCAATGATCAGACCCAAAGTCGAACTGACGGAGAGGAAGAAGTCACGTCGAACTTTGTCTGCGAAACTGCTCTTGTGTTCCAAGAAGACCAGGGTACCGAAATGTTGACCTGCCAGACCCACACCGAGAAGGATTCGAGTGAAGAAGAGAAACGCCATGTTTGGGGCAAAGCCTGGAGAGATGATGGCGGTCAAGACAATGAGAGCGAACACCGTGTAAATCATCTTGAAAGGGACGACGACGTAGAGATGGCCTGCAATGAGAGCTGTGGCAGCCGCTCCGATGGCTGGACCCGCGATGAGCCACTGAAAGCCTTGGACGTTGAGGTCGTAGATCATGGCCGGGATCATAACGGGCATCATGCTCTCGGTGACCATGGTGATGAGATTGACAAAGGCTAAAAGCAAGGCTGTTGCTACCCATTTGCTAGTGGTGGTGTTGTCGATATTGATGTTTCCTCCTCGTCCAACGTTCATTTCTGGCTCAAATAGGTTTCGAGCGAATTGCGACGCCGCCGACCAGACTGTGGCCTGGTAGTAACCACTCGAGTCGCCGAAGATAGCATTGGTGGACACGTTGGTGGGCTCAGGCTCGACGAAGACCTCTTCGACGGTAAAGCTGGTATCGACTCGGATGACGCCTTCTGGGGGAGTCGGTGGCCTCGCGTCGGACCAGCCGCCACCCATGATGGTGGTGGTACCAGGCATGATGGAATCAGAGGAGTTGTAGGCAGAGTGAGGCTGGAAGCTGGGAGGGCGGCTGGAGAGATGGCCGAAGCTGGGTGGAGGAGATGGATCCGAGCGGTGATGAGAGTGAGAGGAAGAATGAGAAGAGAAGTGAGAGCGAGAGCGCCGAGACCAGCGTCGAGTGGGATAATTGACAGACATGGTTGCGCGGTTGATGGCTGAACGCTCCTCTGCAATGACTTTCTAGACTTTGGCGGGTCGGTCGAGGGCGAAGTGCGATGCGATGCTGTGATATATGTCTATATCTATCTCTCTGTCAGTCCTCACACTGCGCTCAACAGATCGCTCTCACCACTGAACGCGGATTTCTAAGAACAAGTGTGTCTGTCCTCCGGCGTCTGCAGGTGAGCTATGAACCTTGACGATGTTGCTATCAGCGGTATCGATCACAGAAAGAAGACAAGAAGGGGACGATGTCGATGGAACAAGGGGTAATGGGAGAAGGGACAAGGAAGAACAGGACGAGACAAGGTGAAGGATTTTTCAAAGCCTGTTCTTCTCTTCTGTTTTCCCTTCATTTCACATCTCACTGTCCATCTCTCACTCGATTCCATCTCAACAAGCCGACGGGCAGCCGACTCTGCGAGCAGTTGCCGGCAAACGGTCTGAGCAATGCCTCCCACGGTCTTCCCCAAGTAAAGCCAAGTCGAGATTCCTCTCATTTGGAGGACTAGCTTTGTTGTGTGCCTGTTGTTGTTCAATCTGGCCGCCAAGCAGCACCCGTGGGAGAGAGACTATCATGCTCAAGCCCTAATCCAGATCCCGATCCTGATCCTGGAGCTCACAGATAATTGGCATGTTGGAGCTGTGATGGTGGTTTCGCATGTGTCCGACTAGAATCAGCCTCACCATTGCCCAGAGTCATTGTTCTGCATCATATTCATCATCTGATCCCAGCCATCTACAGCTGGAGACATCCCAGAAGCATACGCACTGGTGGCGGAGATGAAAAACGCGTGCATCGTCTCACTTTGTGATGGAAGACAAGCTGAAGCTGTCAAAGGAAAGACGTCGTCCCTCGGCATTTGGCTTGTCAAGGTGTCTATCCACTTGTCTGTCAGACGCACCGTCTTTTGCTTGCCGCCTGTCAGAGCTGCAACGCTCAGGGCCCCCAAAGCCCCTTACGCAAGCAACCATCTTTCTGGTACAGACCATTCGTATGCCGAGTACGCTGCTAACATCCAGATTATACCGACAAGCACAGACGGCCTCACTTGCAAGCGTACGGGGGATAGAGGGAGGACATGGTGGGCCTGTCAAGGACTGCAAAGCCCAGTCGACTACCTTCTCAGTTCCAGAGATGCTTCTCCTCTGAAATGGATTTGCTGCCAAATTGCGAATGAAACAGGGCACTAATCGTAGCCTGTTCCGTCCAATGAGGTGGAATCGGGCAGCATGTGGAGGATTGCGGCTAGAGCAATGTCCATATAACCATATACGTTACTTCTGTCCCTGACTCAATCGCATTTGCGGATCACTCACCTCAGCCTTGTCTCGTCCAGTTTGTTTAGAACCAGTTCTAGACATGCAAGGTTGATTCCCGAGACAGCAAGCGTGTGGTGGTCTAAATATTGCAGAGAGAAAACACCAGGCCGCATGTCCTCATTCCCCTGGCTTTGGCTGCAGCGAAGCCATGCCTGTTGGACGTTATTATAGTTTATATCAGACCTCTGTTCGCCTTGATCATAACCTGCCTCACCCAATGTAACCTACTTTGCGGCTTTTCAGCCTCACATCAAGCCTCGACATGCCTGAGCACGCCGGCTTGACTGAATTTTACCGGGGTGAGAACCCCACCCACGAGTAGGCTTCCTTTGAGACCTCATCCGCAGTTCACTGTTCATACGCATGCAGTGTCGTTGCCGTTCACGGATTGCAAGGGTCACGCTTTCAAGACATGGACGGTCAAAGGGGACAGGGAGATTCTGACTAGGAGACCCAGAATTGCTACCGGTACATTTGAAGCAAGCCCGAATTCTGACCTACGGCTACATCGCCGCTGTCACAGCAATACTTAGCAAGGCCTCGTCGGACACCATTCTCCAATACGCACACACCTTGGCTGCCGAGCTAGTTGCTGATCGACAGGTGTGAAGGTTTATCCTCTTTTGGAAACATTCCTTGGGGATACCAATAATGGTTCCGCAGCTGGATGGGAGTACTCGGAGGCCTATCATGTTTGTCTGCCATTCCCTACGGGGCATGATCGTAATGAGGGTAAGATCGAAGGCCCCAGAGAATCCCTTTTGTTTGCCTAGTAAAGAAACGTGTTTTGGTTGGGCCATCCTCTCCTCTCAAAGCCGAACCTCCAAATCGACTGAAGAACTTTATTCCATCGATGTCCCTCCCTTAGGTCTGTTGTTCTTTGGGACGCCGCACGATGGTAGTGACAAAGACGTGCTCGCATCCTACGGCCGACTCCTTGTGGACAAATTGACCCCTGCAAAGCTCTGCGATACTGACAGTCAGCTCCTCGACGCGCTCAGACAAAACTCGGAGACCTTGATATATCACCAATATGTTTGTCCCTATGATGAAGCGGCTTCGCATATTTTTCTTGTGGGAACAAGAGAAGACAAATCTTGGAGGCAAATATGACTACGTATGTGACTTCCCACGTCAGACCGGCATGCTCGCAACCATAACCAAAGTGTGGATGTTGATAGCGTATAGATTGGACACGAATCTTCGGCCGCCACAATTCTCGATGACACAGAGCGGTGTGGCCTCCCATGTGATCCTAGAAACATGTGTCGATTCGAAGGTCGAACTTTGCCTGAACGAGGGCGTTGTTATGCACCGGTGCGGTATGCTTCGGAGGCTGAGTCTGTGATTGCAGGACGATGGGTTGAGGCAGATGCCAAGTTGAACACCATGCGCACAAATCAAGCCGCAGAGTTGTTGAGGGATTACACATGAATATGTGTAGGTCGAAAGGTAGAAGACTATGTTTGACATTTGAGGCGATACTAGCACCGTAGTTCTACCTTGCAACCTTCAGTGACGGACATCCTGAGGGCCATTGTTTTTCCACCCCAGGAGGCTCAATTACCTCATTCGGAGGTGGCTTGATGACCGGAAATCTCCGCACAATTGTAGGGCTGCTTCGGTCATGGCGACACAAGACGACGTAAATCGACGGCGAGCTCACGTGGGCGCTCACCCGCCCGGCGCCGCTTTTAAGTATCGCTCACCTCCCACTCCAGGACGTCATATTAAAAGCTACCGAGGGAAGTTGAACCTATGATGCCGCCGTATAAGTCTATCAAGCCATGCGCGCCATCGCTGTGAATTTACAGAATCTCTGGATAACGAGTGACTCGTTGTAGCCCACCTGCCGCGTCTGTGACTGCGTCTAATCATACATCATCTCCTTCCTGCCCGGCCTCCTTACCAATATGCCCGTAATAGTATGCACAATATCCTCTCTTACTTCAAACTTATTTAACAGTAGGAGCCTGAGCCGTCTGAACGGCTGGAGTTTGGACAGTAGGAGTCTGAGCGGTAGGAGTCTGGTATCGTAGGATTGCAGCAGTGACGGTACCACCCACTCCAATAATCACCACACCAAATGCCTTCGTAATGATTAGAAAGTAGTATTTAGTAATACGAAGATCACTTACAGCGAAGAGCATTCGAAACAAAAATCGATTCTCAAATTTGTCCATTCTCGACTCCATGCTTGTATTGAGGACCTTGATCTGCGCAGAGATGGTTTCACTGAAAAATTTCATCTCCGTGGTAATGCTGTGACCGAGGTGTTTCATCTCTGATTTCGTCGCCGTCAACTCTGATTTTATCATCATTAAATCTGAGTGAAACTGGTTGACCTTGTCCTCGAGAGGTAGGCTGACAGAGGTAGAAGTGGTGTCTCTATCACTATAGAGCGAACCTATAGACCTGTTAACGGCTTTGCGATCGTAGCAGAGTGATGTGCCTTACGTGTCACTGTCTGGAAGGTACGGCTTTGGGATATGCATAATGGAGAGATATTCTTTGTTGAATGTGTAACTTGTTGGAGAATGCTGGGGTGTCTAAGGCGGAAGGCTTGACGCAGCATTTTTGAGGATAATATCTGAAGAGGATTTTGAAGTGGCGTCGGGTCGGGTGAGGGTGAGTGTAAAAGTGAGGGTGAGTACAAAGGTGAAGTGAGGGTGGGTGCAAAGGTAAAGGTGAGGAAGGCGAGCTCCGGGAAGGAGAGGGGGGGGGGGGGGGGTTGTTACAACCTTTTTATCCAAGACGGCAGGCGGGATTGAGCACAGTGCAGCAGCCATCACCCACGTCCAAAGGGGGGGTGAGCTGGCCGTGGATTTACCTTCTCTTGGCTATCTAGCTATTCGCCTTGACTCATGCTGGGGCTACCATCTGATGGAAAATAGATACTTCGGAGACATATCTCCACCATGATCTCGGCCATCGTCTGGCTATCATGAGCACTCGAAGCACGCACGGCAGTCTGTACGCCGATACCATAACCACACGGGAGATCCCATTTCAGCGAATTGCCAAAAGGAGTCTGGCGAGCACAAAGACACAGTGGACCTGGTCCACTTATTTGCTTTTCTGCATTTTGAGTGTATCCTGGAGCGGATCTTTCGCCCATCGGGGCATAATCTGTCAAATACTACCCCAGATCCGGAGCTGGTACTCTCGTTACCCTCAATTCCTTCGTGCGGACGCACCGTGCGATGAAGAAGCTCGTATCAGATTTCGCCGCGTTGTCCGAGTATTGTGTGACCATTCGCTCGTCGAACATCATCTAGGCAAGGAAACATGCTCCCTTCGCCTGTTGTTCATCGCGGGGCTTCAGATCGATTGCCTCGGGAAGTGCAAAGAGTTCTCAGCGCCCGAAGGCGAATTCTGGGTGAGGAGCACGCATATACCATGTGGTCAGTAAATGAACTTTCGAAGGTGATCTGTGAGAGAAACCGCGGTCTCGAAGCAGCGGAATGCTGGAGGCGATCCTCGAGGTTGTCACCCGTACTCTGGGCGACAATCATGTTGACATGGCCTTGACTCGGTCCAACCTCGCCCGTGCTTCTGTACTTTGCGAACGGTGGGATGAGGCCGAAACCCTGCTCGTCATTCTGGTCAAATCCAGACCGTCAGACCATCCAGGGCCTCGTGCACGTGCGAATCCGAATGGGTAGGTTGGCTGAGCCCGAAGCAGGGTGCATCGCGCTCTTCGACATGATGGAAGACGAAGAGCTGCAGGCAGGCATATATGGCGCCGGGTCGCCCTCGAGCTCTGGATATTTACGAGCAAATGATTGAGATTTACCACTTGCAGAACCGTACTGCAGAATTGCAGGCGCTGAGCTTGAATGGGCCAGCCGCGAAAGTCCCTTTGGCAAGGGAGCGGTTCGATATCCTGCTGATCCAGGAAATTCTTAGATGGGAGAGTGAGCTTGATCGACTGACGAATATGGACGTGTGAATGGGGTGGTGCTCATCTCGAAATGTGCCTTATGTACCGTGTACCCCCAGAACGCCTCACTTTTGTGTATGGAATACACTTTTGCGCCCTGGTTGAAGTGGAGAACCCTCCTTCGTATTCTGCATGACCCGTCGATAAAGCGACTGCAAGACCGGCGTCGGTGAAAGGCAAACTACAGACGGGCGATCCTTGATCAATAGGCGCAACACGAAAGTATGTAGAGGCATGATAGCGGTGAACGCTGCAAAGGCAACCAGGATCTAGATGGCGCTTATGTTTAGCAACCCACATCAAATCTTGCCCGAGTCCCGGCCATGCCATCGGCAATCGGACTAATCCCCCTCTATCCCTGAGATCACACAGCGCAAACCTTCCAACCGCCATTCGAGGTTCTCAGCTCCGGGTCGTCAATACATGTACATCCCAGGAGCCCACTCTCCCTCGCCCTTCTCCTCCTTCTCAATACCGGCCATCATTCTTTTCTTGATCATTTCTGGGGGCGGAGGTCCTGCGCCCGCCGGGGTCTTGCTGGTGTCCGCGCAGAACAATGCCACGGGCTTCACAGCATCAGCAGCTGATTTGATGGCTTGGACATCTTGTGGCGAAAAGCCTCCCCCCACGATGATGAGCGAAATATCAGACCGTCCAGATCCCTCCACGTTCGTCCCCAAACCCGAGGAGGGCGGGGTAATTTCGCCCTTGAGAAGAGCAGGGATCTCAGCGACGGCTGTGTCGGCATTGTTGCACACATGGACGACTATAACACGAGAGTCAGTCAATAAGCCACCTCGATTACCCCTATCCTCAATTGATAGCTGTCCCTCAAAGTAGGTAGCTGTCTGGGAAAGAGACTCACCCTCGATCTTAGGAAGGAGATTCTTGATCATAAATTCGGTCAAGTGCGGTTGTTTACCGCAGAGTACGGCAGCGACTGGAGCCATGGTGACAGTGTGAGATTCGCTCGCTTCGCTTAACAAGTTAGCCAAATAGAATCGCTGGAAAGATAGGATGCCAGAGAGATCAAAGCCATACCGAAATAGCCAGCTCTTTGGAAGGATACTAGAGTCTCAGCGTCCCTATTGTTTCACGCACCACAACGAGGAAGACTTCCAATGCTTTGTAGCCAGGACGTCAAGGAAATATATTGAAACTTGACCGTAAATGCGGTGAGCAGAGGGGTATCCAGCCTTGGCGGGCCAGCCTGAAATGCTTGATTAGGGAGGAAGCAGCTCAATGGTTTGAGTCTGCGGTATGGAGCAGATGCAGTCAGATTCCAAATGAGAGGGAGCTTCTCCGGCAGATTGTACCAGTCCAGAGTCCTAGCATTTGTGAAACAAGGCGTCCCTCCCCCCTCACCTGTACCTGCCAGGCTTCCCACGAGCCGCGAAAAGGATGGATGCCTCTCCCTGCAGGAGAATCAGAAGGCTTCGACTTCCCTTATTCGGGACGTAAGAGGTCAATACCCTCGCTAATTAATCAATGCTTCTGTAGCCGAAAAACAGCAGGCGCGCTAGGACGTAGAAGGAAGGATCGAGATAATTGAAGTTGGCACAATTGATCTTGTACCGACATAGATGCTCCGTGGGAGAAAAGGTCGCTGCAGACATTACGGCAAAGGTCCGGCTATGGCTGGTTGGGCAGTCTGTTACCACCTGACCTGCGTGTCTTGGCAGTCTCTGAGGCCTAATTCTCCTTGGTATTCTGTCATTGGCTGCGACCACGACCCAAGTTGGGACGTCATGAGATAGTCGTTGGTTGTCAAGTTGTTGATCTCGCAGGGTCCCCTTCAGGTCCCGACAGCAGTTTGACACAATGTAAAAAAACCTCGATCAACACTTCTTGAGGAGAGTCCAGCCGCCACTAGAGAACGAGCAGATCAGAAGTCAATCAACTATCATGTTGCTACACCGCCAGCTTGAAGCTGGAATGAGGTTTGAGAATCAATCAGAGGCAAAGGTTCCTTCCTTACCTACGCTCTTCGCGCTTTCTCTGTATGTTGTCGAGATGTACAGACAAGAGAAAGCAATAAATACAGAGGTTTCTGCCGAGGAAGTATTCCGATTTGTCGAATCGACTATGATGCTGAACACCGGCCATCGGGACGTCATTTTGAGAGCCCTAAGATCCTGGTTGACAAGCCCGGACAAAGAAAGTTCGTGTTGTCTGGAGACTGAACACCTCGAAGTCATGATGGAGGAGATCGAAAGCGCATGGAGAAGGAACCAAATAAGGCTGAGTCAAGGAAAACGGTCCCCGAAGAGGAGCATGGCCTTTCGAACACATTACTCTGTCTATCATGGGCGATAATGGGGTGCGCGCAGGGAGCCGCAGGTGACGAGCAACTTCAGTCTACTTCAAGCCGAGAATCGCCAAACCGTTGACTTGGCTCGATCATTGACCACCGACACTTTCATCCCGTCTTGCCTCTCTCACTCAACGGGCGCCGTCTTCGTGGTAACGCCGAGGTGACCCAACCGAAAAGTCCAGACTAGATGTCAGGCTCGGATCCTGGTCGAGCGAATCCGGTAATCATCATGAAGCACGCCGGTCTTCTTGCTAGGAAACGGGCACTGACTGCTTTGGCAGCGTTGCCAGGTCTATAGTCCTTGAGACTATAATAGTCGTTTAGGACTCGAAGTCTCTTAGGACCATTGTCATGATGGTCGCGAGGACTACCAAGTACCAGGTACTTGATAGTCCTAGTCAGTTTCAGGCTATCCCTATTATAGGATAGTATTCATAAAGCCATCCCCATTATAGAGTAGTCCCGAGTCCCGGGGACCACGAAGATTGCCACCTAAATTCGGAATAGAGCCACAAGGCACGGAATAACTTGATCCCGACTAGTTACTCAGATCGCTCCATTTGTGGATATTCAAGCCAGACTACGCATAGTCAGGACTTCCTAGAGACTATCGTCCTGGCAACGCTGGTGCTTTGGTTTCTGTCTCCAGTTCGTATCATTTATCAACAGAACAGGAGTCATAGGAACACCCGGATACGCAGACGTGTGACTAACGGGATAATGCCTATTGAGGGCAAGGAATGGTCTAGATAAATAAGAGGCGTAAGTATATGTGCTCCGTGTCGCGGAAGTTGAATGCGTATTAGGTATTATTTCAAGCGGGCCCCTATTGTTCGTTCTCTGCTTTCCTGACCACCCCCGAACTTGAACGATCCTTAGGTATTCTTACATCAACGTTGCAGGGCAAGCCCATTTAGCGTTCAGAAGAAGTGATTGTGGCCCATTAAGAAAGCAAGGACAAGGCTGCTAACGACAAGTGGTAGATTCAGACAGGCAGCACTCCCGTGCAGCGAGGAACCTCTTGATCCCACGGGAGTGGCCGTGACAGTCACGGTGCCGGGAACAGAGCCCGTGGTGAGCACAACTTGTCCTAGAATTTTCTCCAATGTTAGCTTCGGTTACGAACCTTGAACGCGACGCCGCCCCTCCCATACGAAATGCTCGAAAGTGAACTGAACGGGAGGGGTCATTGGGGGAGACGGAAAAGAGGACGAGGAATTTTTATTTTGAATCGTACCAGCTGCAGTGTACCAGTTCTGAGTCCCCGGGACAGTTCCCGTGCATATAGAACCGCAGGGGCAACACCCAACGGAGGATCCGACACTGGTAAGCGTTGCGGAATAGGTGCAGCACATGGGATCAGAGCCCATCATATTCATCGTGTAGTGAAAATCGCTCCCGTCGTAGTTCGGGCACTCATACTCGGATCCCATCATACCGCTGCCGCCCATCATGCCCGTGTGCGTGTGGTGCGCGGACAGGATGGGGCAGAAGGCCGTCAGGCTGTGCGAATCCGTCGAGCCGAGCGGTCGACAGACTACACCGGTTGACGATGGTCTTGCTGTCGTCATCATGCCATTACTGAAACTATAGCCGGTGGGGGAAGTGAGTGTCGTCGACGTGTGCTCGCTGTCTGGATGATGTGTTGATGTAGCAGTGGAGGCATGATCGTCTCCATTAACGAGTCCTAAAAAAACAGGCAGGAAGAAGAGAACCCTCATCTTGCGGGCAGAAATTCAACGTATCCCAAAGAGATTTTCTTAAGATTCGATAAACAGCTTTCGCTCAACTCTTTTGATGGGCAGAGAAGTACACGGGAGGTATCTCCCCAGTACGTAGTTAGGGCGTTGGCGTTAAGAGTGCTTGGAATGTTCCCGAGCCTGAAGGTTTGTTAGTTATGGTACCAGTTGGAATGGTCTCTTGTTGCCATAAGGTGCTCTACGACATCATACAGGCTATATAATTTTCGCTGGACATCATACGAATCTGGTGTGAGAGGTAACGTGATAGTAGTTGACACCAACTGCCACTAGATACGAGGTACTCCAGACGAGTACGCAGCTAGACTCGTAAAAAGGCTTGGCCTTTTCCAATTCGGTCGGACATTCTTCCGACTTTTGCCTTGTCCTTCCTGTCTGGCACCAACTGGCGCACAGCTACCAAGGCAATATCCGCAAGCAGAGAAAATGACAGTATATTAACCGGGACAACAAAGCTAGTGTTCTTCTATATGCTTCTGTGAGACAGATCAGAAGGAGCACGTCACCTCAGAGGCATAACTGCTGCATCTCTATGTTAAGACAATGGCCTTGGAGAACTCATAGGCGGCCATCCATGGTATAAGCGTTGCACGAGCAACAGGTAACGTAGAGCGCTTCGGAATAGGTTCCACTCATGCTCGCGCCTCCCCAGTATCGTCCTAGGCCGTTCGCAGCTTGAGGACCCTAACCATGATACAGTAGAGAGCGGACTGAACGCATGGGCCGCAGTCTGCGCTTCACAGCTCGCCTAGATTTGTACCAACATGCTTCGCGGGTAAACAAAGGCATCCCCGTAGCCATCTCGACGTGGCCAGCCTAGACACCGATTTTTCCGTATGGGCCAGATGCCGGATTCATCTTGCCTTGAGCATTGAGAATTCGTCTCGACGTTAGGAAAGTGTGGGCCTGCTGGATTGGAGGGACCTACTGTTTGAGGAGCCGGATGTGCAAGTAGCTGAAGGACACGAAGGAAGGGTATGTCTGAAAATGTCTGTATGCTTAGTGACTGGCACGCCGGACCTAAGCGCAACAATGGCAAGACCGTCCATCCAATAGCATTGGACCTGTAAAAATCGCGTGAAGATGACAGCCAGGCTAGTATTGGCATCGACCAGTAATCTAGTACGAAGACATTCCAGAGCATGTTCAAAGCGTTGTGGCTGGCGCCGTCGACTCCTGTTGCAGCGCAGAACATCAAGATTACAAAGAAAAGAGAGCTGTGCAGTATGAGTTTTGAAAACTGGTGTAGATGTTTGGGTGCAGAGATATCGTATCAGAGGTGCATCGTTCGAACGGGTACCCTTGACAGCGAAAAGAGGCTCAACGGAAAGAAAGTACATCGCAGGGCCGGGACACGTGGACTACCAGTTGGGTTGACTGCGCCACGGTTCCCCACGATTCTGTGTAGCTGATTCAGGCTCGTGGATCTGGTGTTATCCGTCAGTAACCGATGTGGAGGACATTGATCTCCATGTCGTTGGGTAAATAGCATCAACAAGTGCTGCAAGGGGCGACGAATCGACGAGAGTTGAGAAGGCAGAGAGGGGACGGGACCTTTGGTCGTCAGCGAGTCGGACAGCTTTGACGCATGGTACTTCGGAGGGGACAGTTCAGCATACTAGCAACATCTGCAGGTGATCTGCGACGGGTTTTATTCGCAGTCGGGAGCCACCGAGGAGCAGTGAGCTGCGGCAGGTCATCGTGGTGGCATGCAGCAGTAGCGGGTGCCAGCTGGACGGTACGGATTGGAAGGACTTTGATCGAAGCGAAAACGGACCAGATGCATGGCCCTTTGGACTGCCGCCTTCTCATGAGGTACTTACAGGTCAAGACAGGCACAGGTTTGCACGTTGGATGCACGTTGGCATTCCTTCTGTGCTGATGTGTTCGCCGCAGCTGCGATACTCGAGAAGAAAGGGTACCGAGAAGTGAGAGCGAGGTACCCAGTCGTGAGAGCGGCGTGCTGATACAAAAGTTCCGCCCTTGAGTCCTTTTGGCCCGGAGAATGAGCCGGGCCGGAGGGAAATTTCGGAGCAGGAGCAGGAGCAGCAACGAGGCTTATTCGGCTACCTACCTACCTAATACCCTGTCGCCGTCGTGGAAATCTCGCCCAGCTCGGAGTACTGGGTACGGGCAAGGATGGGAGTGTTCGTCTTGTCGTCTTGTCTCAGGCATACCCATTGCGCTTTGCCCTGGGGTGCCTGGGCCCTGAGGCTGGTGAGGCGTCAGTGGACAAGTGCCGTGGGCCCTTAATCCAAAATTGCAGGAGCTTTGCCCAAGACTCCGGTGGGCAGTAGCCCGCCTGGACGGGTGCAACCATCAAATTGGGGAAGCATCCGCCCGCTTCGATTCAGACTCAAGGATGACAAGGATGGAACTCTCTAGGCTGTGTCCAGTGCCCACCGAGCCCACCGCAGCTAGAAACAAAAGCAGCTAAGCGGCCGCCTCACCCGTCACTCTTGATTGGGAGGCCGACCCAGTGTTGGCACGATTGGACGCTCTATCTGACGATCATATATATGCTTCCGACCGAATGCTTTCGGGCGTGGGATCGACATGGAAAGGAGACGTTATGAAGCGGGAGGAAACTCTTTGTCCTGCGGCCAGCAAAGGGTTGTTCGTTGTGTACGGCAGTGAACAAGCAGGAGGAAGACAAAAGAACTGTGGGAGCGCGGAACGAGGTGGATGATCATCATTGTTATCGATAGGCTGGCGATAGTACAGCACATTTGATACGACAATCGATAAAGATAGACAGACCATGATAATGCTTCTTCCACTTCGTCGCGTCCACAGAAAGACTCGCGTCCTTAGATTTCTATCTGAAGTATTTGTGACATTGCCCATCTGATCCACAATCAGAGACAAGAGGCCTGGGAAAGTAGCCAGGACCTCGAAAAATTGTACAAAAGAGGCGTTGAAAGAGCAATCCTTGACCGATAACAAAGGAAAATGTTTGTGCAGCAGTCTTCCTGAATACTCTTCAAGAGTGATGATGCATCAAAGGCCCCAAAAGAACCCAGCAAACTCCATTTGTGTCCCGTTTGAAGCATCCATTTTCCCAGACTCCTTCCGCTTGGTATCAAAATTCCCGTTGTTCCGTATGAATCGTACAGGCGTTGCGTTTCCCCATGCTTGGTGGTGTCTTGGACTCTCACCTCCATCTGTTGTGGCTCATGCCGGAGGATCTGGTCTCGTCGCGGGTAACGGTGTTGTGGTGAATGACGACGACTTCACGTTTGACGGGCTTGCGAGGCTCTTTGCGCTCTCGAGGTTCTCTTCGCGAATCGTGGTAGATTCTCTCACCGGCGCTGCTGGAGCCAGATGAGCTGTGATATTGGGGAGCCATCTCGTCCGTTGGTGACTGAGGATTGGATTGTGTCTGCGACAGAGTGCTTTTCTCTGACTGGCGGCGTGATGCCTGGAGGGGCGGCAATAGACAGGAGACAGACCTCAACGAGGGGATGCTTTGGGATTTATACAGTGGGTGCAAGGATCAGGTTCACAGCCTGGGTAAGACGTTTTGAATGTAAAAGGGTCTGGAGGGATGGTCGCCCTGGGAATTGGGACTCTCGTGGCGAAGGTTGCTAAAAGTGGTGACAGTTGATGGAGGTGGGGGCGAGTTCCAAGAATGTTGCTAAGGGGGTTGAGGGAGGTTTGTTTTGTGACGGGGGATTGTCTGTGGCTTGAGAGTGCTGACTGATGGATTCTATTGACAGGGAGAAGAGGGGAGATTGGAAAAGGAATTGGGAGCGGCTTTATAGCAGAGGCAGCGCAAAGCTGAAGAGTCACAATTGCAGGAATCAGCAGTGCAGGCTTATTTGGATGTTGAAGCCTGGTGAGAGGATGGGGTCGGCATCAGGCAGAATGCCAAATCGGGACCTAGCATCAGGCAACTGAAAATCCCAAGCCTTGCTGGTGTGCTGCCAGTGACTCAGATGACGAGGAGCAGGGAGCTAGGGATCCGGGTAACCAGAAAGAAAAGACACAAACGGGCAGCATCCGCAACAGGGCGACGAAGCCAAAGGGGGGATGGAGTTGTGGATGGGAAGGGAAACCAGAAGGCTTTGGAAACGGGAAACGGGTTGGCAGGGCTGTGAGCTGCGGGTTGTGAGTTGTGGGTTGTTGGTTGGCATGGAAAAGTGGAAAGGGGACTTTGATCAAACAGGCCAGCGGCCAGCGCCCAATGGAGCGGTGCAGTCGCACACTGCCGTGACAGTGACGGTGGCTCGGATTGGATTCGTGTTGGCACAGAAGATTGGCAACAATAAGTGCAAGGTGGTGGGAATCCCCCTGAGAATGTGGACTCATTGGGCAGCCAACCCAATTAACTTTGGCTTGAAATTGAGACAATCCACTGGGCACTGGGACTCTGGGAAGGGCAGGAAGAAGGGGCAAACCCCGGCGCCCGAGGGACTGTGTCGGTACCTCGTACACACTGCAGGCATTGGTAGGCGAGCTGCGTAGTGCGGCATACTCGTTATTCCACAGGCCAGAGGCAAAGGCGTGCCCCTCATTAAGCCCCGACCGCGAGGATGACGTTGCGCGGAGACACTAGGTGGCTGCTATGGTAGGTAACCTGCAGGGCTGGGGGGAACAAGTGCAGGTTCGCTGTTGGGGGGAACTTGTGGTCTCCGGGGCTCTTTGTACCTACTTCATGCATGTTTAGTTCAACTATGGCTGGGCGGGGCTTCTGTTTGGTTCCTGCTTTGCCTCTCACAACTCAAACCACCACAACCAACCTGCAACTGTTCATCATTCTTCTCTCAAGCCTATCGTAAACCACCCGTTCCTGCAGCAGCTGCGGCAAAAAGGAAAGGGAATCGTGTTTCGTACCCAGTACTTTTCGCATCCTATCGAGTCCAAAGACATTTGGTTTGATTTTTGCCACCCTCCCGTGGTCAGTCCCCCAGCAATCCTCCAGCCTCTACTGCGAACGAAAGAGCACTCTACCCCGTCCCCCTCCTGATTCGATTGCTCGCATTTTGCGTAGCGCTCCATCACCACTCTCAGGGGCAATTCCTCAGATGATCACAGCGAGTCGTCGCAGCATTGGCGCCTCTTTGTGAAACCAATGCGCCTCAGCGACAACTGCGGCACAACACCTCCGGGCCCATCCACCGAAGCCTTCAAACAAGCCGGAAACAAATCTGTCGATGATGGGACTCCGGTTAGCCACCACCACGTTCCTGAGGGAGCTGTCGGTCTCCGCGAGTCATGATGGGTCCTCTTTTCGGGCTGGCGGAATTTTAACAGTAACAAACTGAAAGGAGTCAGCCACGTTTGCTGTACCGAGTACCTCATAATAATACCTCCAGGCACCAAAACGCCCCCAATTCGGCCTCATACGGAGTAACCGCTGACTGATAACACGAGAGCGCCTCATTTTATCCTGTCCCTGCGCCACAGGCTCCTCTTTCCTGCTGTATATTCTTCCAGCCTAAACAATATTCGGTCATCTTATCTCAGAATTTGGTCGTGCCATACCACTTTACCCTGCCAAAAACATAGGATTCAATTATCTCCCAGACCACACTCCCCGTTGGGCTCTTGAGACAGTCACGTAACCAGCACTTTGCTTGCTCTCGCTTTGATTCTCCTAAAGTTGATACTCTTTTTCGCAGCCGAACTGTGGATGCTGACCCGCCACGTCATTTGCTTCAAGATCGTCGCCTCTTGAAGAAGTCTTGAAGAGGCTCCGCCCCAGCTAGAAAGTGTTCGACACCGATATTCGACATCTCTTTGCCAGGTGAGGCGGCTGACAAGGATGGATTCGATTGGGCGCAGCCAGTGGAATGACAGCGTCCAAACAAAAAAAACCATCAACAACCGAGTGTGGGTAAAGGCATCACGGGCGTGCTTGGGAAACGCGTTCAACCCTGACAATCTACACACGTTTCATTCAAATGGCCAGAAGAGCTGTCCTATCTCGCCTTGTACTTTCCGCTCCGACTACAACGGAGATGAGAGAGCAATGAAGTCAATTCGTGCCCAACCGGGGCGCAGATCGACCTCGGCTTGGACTCCATGACCGGAACCACAGAACCATGGATCGACGTTCAGGCTATGACTTTCTCTTCCAGGTCTCGGGTAGACAGCGCCAGTCCATGTCACGAGTATTGCAGGTCACACTCCCAGCCAGCCCATTCCTGACGGCCACCCCCTGGACCAGTTCATTTTCCTTGAACCATCGACTCAGTCACAGCCTGTTCTCGACCAGCACCTCCAAGGTTCCTCTGCCGTCATGGTGCATGCGGCTGTTCTTCGCACTTACGCCCCACTTTCGTTAGAGCAGGTTGTTCGGTGGCAATTTCGGGGTGCATGTCGCTACTCCCTCTCGGTCGCGTCTTTACCGTCAGTTCGCGCTTGTCGGGTCCGATAGTACATTCAATCGCTGCCCAATACTACCTGACGATGGCGCCAAATGTCGCCGAAGCGAGGTTGTCTACCCACTTTCTGTGATATTGTCAAGAACAGGAACCTCAAGAGGACTTCTCGTTAGAAGAGGCCTCGGCGCGACAGGTGCCGGCGCATCCGACGGTGACCATGCGTCTCAACTCTGTCAGTCTTATCAGTGGCCAGAGAGATGAGGAGAGGTGCCCAACCAGGATGCGGTGGGCGATCCTCGCCTGCCTAGGTATCTAATGAACCAGTATGATCAAAGGCCTAGCGAGGGACAACGCCCTGGAGAAGGCTCTGTGCATGGACAGCCGCGAAATTGCGGGATATTAGATATTACTCCCCCTACCCATGCGCTGCTGCGATATGAGGTCATTGGTCTCGTTCGCTGGCTCCTAATGGGGATGACCTGCTGAATATTCCCACATGGCTGACTTTGAGGCGAAGGTGAGGCGGGTCGAGGGCGGGATGTTGGTCTGGGGATTGCCCCCTCATCTCTTATTTGTGAGGCCTAAATCATCTGCAAGTTGTGACGAGCGGCTGCCAACCTTATGGGCGGCGTCGTCGCTACAGTCCGCACCGATCACATGAGCTTCCGCAAAGGCATGTCTCACAATCGTTGCATTTGTAATCTAGCTGCAATCTACACCGAACGCTGCAGGGATTGGATTTGCTGCTGCCGTTGAACAAGATTCGTTTCTTATCCCTTACAATTTATCGAGCGGAGGATCAGACGTTTTCGAGTTTCCATCTCTTAGTTAGACATTGAGAAGCATCGCAAAGCGGAGGGAACAGAAGCAGTGGCGAGGGCTGCGCATTTCCTTTTCATAAGCTCACTTCATATTCAGTTGAAACTAGAGACACCTAGCACCTCTTTCAGATTGACCGAACCGAGATATGCTTGGTCCATCGTTATACATTCTTGAAGTGGACATTCACAAACAAGCCTGCATCATTCTGGGTATGGTCCTGAGGGAGAGAAGGTTTGACGAAGGCAAGTTTGAATCGATATAGACGTCGCTCCATTAGGGCTTGTCTATCTGCAGGCCGATCTCTCCCATGCAGAGTAGATGCGCCTGAGTCAAAGGAAACGATATTGGCCACCCACTCGAAAGGTTTTATTCACATGAGCGCGACCATTCCCAAGAAAAGACTACCCAACACTCCCGCAGCCGGCACAGCGTACCCATTAGCGGCGTTGCCAGCTGCACCGGTTGCAGATGCAGAGGCACTGCTCGCCGCCGATGAAGCAGAGTTGGAGACCGACGTCAAAAGGGAGGACGCCGCTGAAGTGGCACTGTTCACAAGACTGTTTTCTGCAGAGCTCGCACTGGCCAGAAGACTGCTGATTTCGCTTGAGAGGCTGCTCTGTGCAGAGGGGCCGGCCGTGGCTGCCACGGATGAGAGACTAGAGGCTTTGGAGGATGCTGCCGCTGAGATGGAAGAAACCTCGGATTCGACGACGGAGGCGAGCGACTGGATGCCGGAAGGGATGCTGCTGGCGAGAGATGACGCAAGTGATGCTGCCGAAGTGACGGCTGAACCGGCGACCGACGTAGCACTGCCAGCAGCTGAAGTTGCCTCGCTGGCGACGGAGGTGGCAATTGAGATGATTGAGTTGATGGCCGAGCCGAGGTCTGATTGAGCAACAGCGCCGACGGCAAAGGCCAAGATCACAGGCTTGAAGAAACGCATATTGAAAATGTCTCAATGTCTCACAAAGGAGGTATCTTAGATGAAAAGAGGATCTGGGTGAGTCTGGAGAGACGGAAGTGAACTACAACTGAACGATGTTGTTGATACGAAAAGTCAGATTGAAAAGACCACGTCTTCAGAGGTCCGTCATATATATACTGAGTTACGGCTTAAGATGACGTTCTGACACTGGCGGGGGGGCAACAGGTGGTGGAGCAGTGACAGATGAGCCACCATCATCACGTTGGTTGTGTTAAGCCTCGTGGTATGAGCCAAGAAAAGTCTGTCACAGCCTTGCAGGGGATCCAGTTCGGATCGAAAGGCAGCCAACAAGAGAAAGCAGCTCGACATATCGAGATAATAATAATAAGGATTTGGCCCGCCAGATGCAGTTGCGTCACGCATGGGTGTGGCTACTTTTTCTCACTGGGTGAAGTTAATGTGCCAAGACCACCAAGCCTCCCTGCCCTCTCACCATCTCAACCTCTCAGCCACTTCATCATCCCCCCCGCCACACACGCCGCGCAACCAACTCCACCAGGTTCCTGAAAACAATTCACACTCACTTCACTTGCCCTCAGAACTAATCCATACTGAGTACGAGGTAAGTGCAAAGTTCTCCCTCCAACGGTCAAAGATGAGAGAGCTTTAACACTTACTCGAAAAAGGAAGAGTCAGTGCTGGTTGAGGGTTCAAAACATCTTAGCCGTTTCATTCCGGTTAGCCAGCAATACTGTAGGGTGCCTCTTTTACCCTCTTACCCTGGAAATTCAGAGCATACCAGTTTACCCGCATCGTCACTATCGCTCCGTCGCAGCGACTTAAAAATAAGATCCTCAATATGTTGCCACATTATTGACGCACAGCCAGCTTGTCCTGGAGCAACCAACTGTCACGGAAAGAGAGTTAGGTTACTGATGGGAGTCTCCGTGAGTCCTCTGCACCGTTCCGCGTGGGAGCGACGTTCCGCATTGTTGGCCCATATCAAAAAGGTGCTATAGAAACAGCGGAGACTCCTCAACCTTTTTGATATTGGAGCATAATCCTCCTCAGGGAGGTAAAACATCAAAAAGCGGTCGGGTTATCATATCGAAGAAAGCTTGCTGACTTGCCGGCGAGGCTGCGATACTACATACTTGGTAAGCTCCTAATCATCGGGCGAGATGCCGGATCGACATACTCCCCGGACTGCCCGAGCAAAGCTTAACATCAAGAAAGGTCACTGCTGCAGGAGAGCGTCGTTCCCGCCCCCAATGGAGCACAGAGTACTTTGCCTTCTAAGTCGTGAGTTACTAGGCCGTGGTGGTGAGTATGTATGATTCAGCCCAAACCGGACAGATCAACCTCATGTACTGGGTACCGGGTAGCCCAGTGCCCACTGCTCGGAGTGCGAATCCTTTCCATCGGGGCACTGCCTGAAACAAATGAACGAAGCCAGTCCGGCACTCGGAAAGGTACATTCTGTACTAGCTAGGTACAGTAAGCGAGAACCGACGTCTGCAGTGATCACTCGTCTCCTCAGCCTGGATATTCTCCAGATGAGAGTCCCTACAAATACAAGGACTTGCAGATCATTCTGCTGGGTGGAAAAAGTCCCTGTGCTCATACCCTTCGCGCAAGGTGCCTTTCTAATAAATATACCAGGAATGGTTCACACACTCTCTGGACCCCTGGATCGTTCGGTACCGAGGGTGGCTATCTCCGCCAGAACTAATCCCGAAATGCAGAAACGTCAGGGCTAATTTCATTGGACCAAGGGCAAGCAAGGGGCAAAACAACAGAAACAAGAATCCAGCGATCTTCGAGAAGCGTTCGCTGAAAGCTTCTTCCCGCACATAAACAAATAGCCGACGCGCAGTTTCGACCAGCGGCAAGGGCCCAGAGTTTCAGTCAGGATCGTGCTAGAAAACTATTTCCAAATCCTTTTTTATCCCTGTCCAGCCCTCCCCCTTCTGCCTTGACGCACAGCTTCGCGACCACCCTGTTCCGTCAACTGCAAGGATAACCGAGGATAATCCTCTGGCTCTTTAATCCCCTATTCTCTCTGCTGCGCTGCTCAAGACTTGAGATACATCACAGTCCCACTAATCAACGCATTCACAAATTCATAAAAAGTTCTTTCCGGTCTTACGAAAGACGAAATCCTACATAAGCCGTTAATTTTAATCTCACGATCGTTCCACGTCCATGGCTTGTCTTGAATAGCAACTCAGCACCACCGTCTCGGTCTCTGATGAACTAATCAGCCCTATTCAGCCTGATGGGAGCTCGCGAGTTCATTGGTCATGACACTCAGAACCGCAGTCGAGATGGCTTCCCGAAAGAGGAGAAAAGCGAGACCAAATCAATCAGCACATCTCGCAGATCCGTGAACAAGGCGAAACTCATTATCACTCCACTGGACTCCCATCGGCGCGAAGCTTTTGCATCGTATCCGTTAGGAGCGGGACCACTCTCGACAGAGAGTGTTGACGAGTGTAAGATCACCAACTCTGCATGCAAGAATTCTATTGACAATTGCAGACATTTCCATTCTCCGCAAGGAAGAGCTATGTCTAAAAGTCACTCCCGATGTCGAACATCCAGCAATCTCAGTCCTCTTCCCGATGTCAATGCAAGACCCTGACCTCTTCAAATGTCTCCTCGTGGGGGCTCAAAGTCTGCATGACTGGCGTCGTGATCCCTTTCATGTCAACCGGTCCCGAACGATGCTCAAATTGCAGAACGAAGCCATCCTTTCTCTGCGGAAGCGGCTGTCCTCACCATCCGCCCATCTGGACGATGGAGTCCTGATTTCAATCACCCATCTCATGATTGCTGATGTACGTCAAAGGAACTTCTGAATACCGATGCATCTAACCTTTCTCGAGTCGTGTCGCAGGGACTTAACGTCTTTGAAATCTCACCTGAAGGGCGCCAGGCAAATCATTTCGCTCCGTGGTGGGCTTGGGACTACACCTGCTCATCTCGCTATCCGGGCTTTAGTGACGACGTAAGTTTTTTTTGAAGCATTCTGCAAGTCAGAGTCCTCTAACACAGGGGCAGGGTTGAGTTTTATATTGCGTTGGGTCAATACCTTCAGCTTAGTCCTGATGACCCTACTGCCATTCCTAACAACCGCATCGAATTCATCCGACATCCATTTCCTCCCGACATCTGCCGCGATGTCGCTACTCTTCCCATCGGTCTTGCTGAAGCTGCTCTTTCGGGACATCTGAGCGTTCAATGTATTAAGCTACTTGCTTCAGTCGCGTCGTGGGCACCATTAGTCAATGGCTCCAGCTCTTCTTCAGCTCCGACAAAAGATTCGAGAGACAGATATTGCAGGCTCTTCTGCGAACCCAGAGAATGTTCCAGAAGCGCCATCATGCTTCTTCTTGATCTCAAAAGATCTGGGTTGCCAGTCGGCTTGGAACATGTCATCTGCCTAGGCTTAGCCATCGCTGTCCGGCATCTCAGTGGAGAGAATCGTACCAACATCTTCGATACTGCCTCGCTCGCCGCTTTGACCAAGAATGTCAAAAGTATCGATAATCCTTCTGTGCCGGATTCCGAAGTCATCATCTGGCTTTCCCTGGTCATCAGCTGGCGCACACAATCTGCGAAGCCAGTACCAAAAGCGGACACTCTCTTTGATTACGTTCTGGATTCATTTCCCGCATCCCGTTCCTGGAAGAAGGTGTCGGTCATCTGTCGCAAATTCTGGTGGTTCGAGCGCTTTCAAGCAGAATGGGAGCAATGCTGGGCCAGTGGCATTGCAAGGCAGAAGCAGCGATCGTTCCTGGAACAATCTCAAAACATGCGCTCTCGAAGACGATCTTCGATTGGCCCGCTGGCGAGCATTATATCTCTTCAAAAATATTCGGCGCACATCGAATCTGGGTGATAATTGTGGCGGCTGTGGGCAGAGCAGAATCTCAACCCGAGATCCTGCTCCACTTAGGCCGCGTCGCGGAAATGCCTGCTCAGATCCTGGTCCCACATGAGCAGGATAGTGCAGTCATGGGGCTCTCAACGTATCTGAGCTTGCCAACACTCCCTCATTAGGAGAAACATATGCCTGTTTCAGGCCTCCTGCTTCACAACACAACGGAGCCAGCATTCCTGATATCCTCGCAATTGCGGAAAGAGAGCTACTATGCACCCCTTTGTCCACCTCGGCTCGCTATTATGGGAAGGTCGATATGCTGTTCACAATGGCACTACAAATGGTGGAATTTGGCTTCTGGGTACCCGATCTGTTTGCTGACACGCCTGAAAGAGCACATGCCGGCAAATCCGGCGTGGGAAATTATGGATTCGGACGGCAAATCTTACCAGATCGCCACATTTTTTTCCCTGGACGCAAGCGGACGGCCTAAGCCAGCCTCCACACACCATATCCATACCCTCCCCAACCTTGTACGTCCGTTCCGGGGAATAACACAACACCCGCTTCCACCAGCTCTGTCTGTTGTGACCAGCCTCCTCTCCTCCTTTTCGTTGTCCAGCAACCACGCCAGACTCATGTAGGATGCCGTCAACACCCTCACCCAATAAGTTCCAGTACACGCCCTGAAGCCCCCAAGGCGGACTTTGTTCGTTAGGGTCTTTATAGAGTGGGAATTCTAGTCATACCAGGATGTTTGAAGGACTTATCCACCATTTTTTCTGCCTACTCTCTTTGCATAGTGGCAGGGAGGGCACACGAGAACTCCGTGGGTTTCAGCAACACAACCAGACCCACCCGCTTCTTTCTTGTATGACTGCGGTGACTTTTCGAACGTGGAGGAGAAGGGAACTCACAGCGTAGTCTTAAATTAATCAAACCTCTCCTCGGAGGGACCCTTTTCTCGTTGGCACTCTTTCTCCCAGTCCGACCTAAAAAGTCCCCGCCGACGAACTTCAAATCATGCCTATAGCGCCGAAAAAGGCATTCTTCGCCAGATCCAGAGGTGAGAAATTCTCCTCCGAGGGACTTGCCAGTTCGGTGCGTGCATAGTTGTTGGCTATGTAACGGCGGTTTGGTAGACTTCGAGGCCGAAGGCGTCCAGGCCGTGGAGGGCGAGCATGACAACATCATAGCCACGGCCACAACCCTGATGCGAGTTGGCTCAGCATCTCCAACCGCGGTTCTCGTGGAAGGGTCTAACATACCTGCGCCAGCGCCTTCAATCTCTGCTCATCCGGTCTGCGCGGCAGGGTTAGATGTTCCCGTCTTGCCTTTTCGATAAAATCTACGAGTGTAGGTGACGGCTTTCCACGGGCCCAGAGGTCCCTTTGATTGGTGTCCCATAGCTCCGACCAGCCTGCATTGTGGTCCTGGAGGTTCCTGGCATGCAGGATCGGTTTTTGTGGAATTTGTCTTTCAATGGATTATTCGAGCATCACCTTTGCAGGAAATGCGATACTAGGCGGCCCGGATGCTTAGTACCACCTGCTTGTGCTGAAGGGCTCACCTTACCAAGCGGTTTCCCCAAAGTTGACGAAAGCCCCCACGAATTTTGGATGAGAGATGGAGAGGGGGAGAAAGTTGTGTTTGACGGTCGTCGTTGCTCGGTCGAATCCACCTCCTGCTGCGGAGTTTGAGGCTCGCTGAACTGCGGGGTGGTAGAGGGCGTCCATTGTAGGAGCAGTCAGACCATCACTCACATCATGCTCGAAGCATCATTACTGTGCAGCAAAGATACATTCTCAGTTAGCGCTGTGCTTGAAGACGGTGTCTCCTTCAGGGGGATGTGGGAAGTACCAAACAAATTGCTCCGTGCATCACGTCGAGTACGTGGCCTGTACAGCCAATCAGGCGGGCGAAGCGACGGTTGACGCCCAAGGACGTGGGGCGAGTCTTCGTTAGACACCTTGTACAGCACTTGGTTGGGCGGCTACACGCCTTGGGAGTGCCCGTCTGGCCGTGTAGGGATGAAGGGAGTCGCACAAAATAGCAACCAAGCGAGCCGGCTCGGAGTCCCGCTTTGACTGTCACGAGAGTGGAAGCATAGAGAGAGGCTGACCTTTTATGTTGCGGTTGCTGTGGCCGCAAGAGAAAAAGAGAGATAGATAACTGAGGGAGAGAGAACGACGACAATTCAGATAACTAGGGCGTCGAGTCAAGTCAAGGCGCCAACACCACCAACAGTTCGGTTCCCCTCCTACTCTACTTGGTGCTGCTGCCACGCACACGCGCACAATCCTCCTCCTCTTCCTCCTCAGAAGAATCCTCCTGTCATCTCTCCTTTTTGCAGCGCTTGTTTCGTCTTTTGCTCAGGTCATCTTCCAGGTCTTGCTCGGCATCAGCCTTCTTTTCTTCCGTCGTTTCTAAATCCGTGGCCTGGGCCCGACCGCAGTTTACCATATCATCATCATCACCATCACCATCCTCCTCACAGGGCAGGCCCCACTCCTAGGTTGCGAGTCCTCTGCCATCTCCAAGATCGACGGGAATATCCTCTCCCTTCTCCTCAAAGAGCGTAAAGTCTTTCAACGCCATGAGTATCTCCGGCCAGCACGGGAGGCCGGACGGCGAGATGTTCCTCAATCGCCCTAGTGACCGCGACTCCCCCACCATCGTTGAGCCCTTGCGCATTAATAAAAGAACTTCCAGCGCGTCCTCGGGCGTACCCTCCATCACTGGCAAGCAAAGCCCTGCTCCTCAACAGCCCCCTCAGTCTACGACCGTTTATCCTATGCCCTCCCTGCCATACCCAGACGAGCAGGCTCGCCAGCAGGCACAAGGCTCCCGATCCAATGGCTCCCCTGCGCCATATCCTTACCCGGATGTGAGAAGAGTGACGTCGCCTGAACAAAGTGGCATTGCCGGAAATGGGACAAGGCAACAGGCAAAGAGGACGACTTCAGGAGATGGGCGCCCTGGACAAACACTTGCTGAACGCCGCGGCACGGTACCAAAGCCTTTACCAGAGTCTCCAGGCCCGGACGCTCCAGATAAAGAAGGACTGTTTCAGCGCGCTCCTCAGCGCAGGGATCCTCCGAACACGGCTCCCCTCCCAAGCCAAAATCAGCAGTATTGGCCTCCCCCTTCCGAAGCCTCGTCTGCAGCAGATGCTTTGAGCAGATTGAAGATCAGGGACCCTTCCTCGATCAACCGAATAAGTTCCACTGCTTCAACATCGACCACCCGAGCCCAGCGTGGATCGCCTCCTCCACCAGAAACGCCTATTGTTGCCCCGGGGGTCCGCCCTCAGACTGATATCGAAGCCCGCTACGCTGCTTCTGGCATTGCAGGCACTGCAACGTTGAACAGCTTACAAGCCCAGAGCCTCGCTGCTCAGCAAAGGGCCTCTCAGTATGGCGTGCAACCCCAGCCCGTTCAGGCACCGAGCAACGCTCCTCCACGGCGGCCTTGGACTCCCACCGAAGCACCAGGTAGTTCGCACCATCCTGCTCCCACAGTGTATCAGGGCATAGAGGAAGCCCGTCCTTCGCCTCCGCCTGCCGCAGCGGTACCCGCGTCTCGCTCGGCAGGTGTACAGTCTCCAACTCGGGCCCAACACCCTGTTGAAAGCGAGATATCCAGGTTACAGCCCCACGAGGAGCCACCGCCCGCCTACTCTCAAGTCCCTGGTGGCAGAGCAGTCGTCGGGAATGAGAAACAGAGGAGAAGTATGGTGGCCGCCGCCGCGGCGCCAGCAGCGGCGGGAGGGGTCGCACCGACAGCAGCTCCGCAACCAACAAATCTCATGCAAGGAACACAGGTTCCCAACCAAATGGACCATCCTGCGTTCGCGAACGACCCTAGGAATGCGCTCCAAAGCCCGCAGGCCCATCCAACCATGAACGGACAGATGCAACAGGCACACCCAGTCATGCCTCAGACACCAGCCCAACTTCCTCCCGCCTCTCCACCACCGCTTCCAGAGGGATGGATAGCGCACTTGGATCCTAATTCGGGACAATACTACTATATTCATTTACCTACACAATCTACTCAATGGGAGTTCCCTAAAGGCCCAACGCCTCTCAATCTTAACGACACGCCATTGTCGCCGGTGGCCAGTGTATACCAGAACCCACTTGCTTCACCTGGCTTGTCTTTCGCTTCCAAACCATTGGCATCGCCGGGTCTTCCCATGACTCCTGGATATGACCAACAAAGTGTGATGGGCTTGCCTGGTCCGGCTGCCTTCACCGGACCGCCTCCTAGCGCTGGTGTGGACTTGTACAAGGTAGTAGCTACGAATGGCGTGTACTTTGGTCCTTATCTTCGCTACGTCAACATGGATATAGAGCGAGGCATTTGGTATGGATCTATACTGCTGGTCACAGATGCACCACAGCCACCAACAATACACATCCATCAGAGCGTTGACTTATCTCCAAATCCGCGCCAATTGAAAGCCAACAGTATCTCAACTCATCAACGCTGGACATTCTACACGTACGACATTGACTTGCGGATGGAAGATGCTGGAGCTGCAAAGTGGACATATGCCATCACTTCCCACCTTGGTTGCACCAGATATGAGTTTTTGGTGGCTGGAAAATACGAGACTAATTGGCGTTTCGTTTGCACTTCTGCAAATGACTTTTCTCTCAACGTAAGCGCCAACGAGCGTGCCAGATTGGGCGGGGTTGGTTTTATGTGGAAAGACATTATGCAGAAACACACCGAATGCGGCGGATTCCATTGCCAACTTGGACTAGGCAGTCAAATCAATGCTGACAGACTGTGGAAAGAGATCCCATCGCTAAAGCAGTGGCTATCGACCAGCGGCAAAGAAAATCGAAAGAATGCTGTCTGGACAGCAGCACACGAGGAGGACGTGACGCATGCATATTTTCATTATTACACGAGTCATTTTGATCAGCCATATTTGCGCGAGGCTTTTGCCCAGATACCCCACATTTTGACGATTGATGATCATGACATGTGAGTTGGTTTGTTGGACTGATGGAGCCCCCAGGCTGATTAGGAGCAGATTTGACGGTTTTGGTTCTTACCCCGAATACATGCAATTCAGCAACATGTTCAAGAACATTGGACGGATTGGAATTGAGATGTACCTTCTATTCCAGCATCACACAACACTAGAACTCCTTCGCAACGTGTCCGACGACAGAGATTTGTTTACCATTACTGGAACCGGATGGCATTTCGTCAAATATCTCGGACCGGCGGTGGCTGTGGTTGGGCCAGATACACGGAGCGAACGAACGCTCCACCAAGTCATGGCAGGCCCCACCTACCAGGGGCTATTTCCCAAAATTGCGTTGCTCCCTTCGACCATACAGCACTGTCTCTTGATGATCCCAGTGCCCTTGATCTATCCCAGGCTGGATGCCGCAGAGTCGATAGCACAGACGGTGGCCACCGGGAAGAAAGCGGTGACGGGCGCCTACAACGTTCTTGGCAGAGTAACAAGCTCTGTTGCAGGCGTGGTTGGAGCCAAAGGTGCTGTTGGATCGGGGTTTGACTCGGTAAAACGTGCCGTTGGCAAGTCCGGATTAATGGGTGGTATTCTGAGTCCGTTCGGCGACATTGACGTTCTCGACGAGCTGAAGGACCAGTGGACCCACGATTCCAAAGTGAGTAATAACGTTTGCTATGCCTTCGACCGTGTTTCGCTGACGTGGTTAGGACCTGGAGCGCACGTACCTGATTCGTACGCTACAAGGAATCTCGCATCAGCGATCTATTCGCATGACATTTGTATCGGGAGCAGTCAACACGTGTGGAGCGGGTCTCGTCCATGACCCATCCCATCCATCAGATCACAAGACCATGTATCAAATAATTTCATCGCCAGTGGTGAACACTCCGCCACATGGCTATGTCATGAAATTGCTCAACAACAACAAACCACTCTACATCCCGGCGAATGGACAACGATCCACACCGTCACAGCCAACCGACACGAAAGAGGACATGATGGAGATCTTTACACACGATGTAACAGGGCAGCCCATCAACAACCGAAAACTGATGGCACGAAGAAACTACGTGGCGATTGTGATCTATGACCCTGAGATTGTCAATGGCACATATGGTCAGACGGACATGCATCGAGGTTCAGGCAAGCTGAGCCTGGCAGCCGACTTTTTGGTTCAGGGAGAAGGCGCATATGGAAGTGTGGTCAAATACGGGCCGGTGGTGGTGCCAGGCTTGGAGTATGGGCATTGAGTTGTGGTAGATAGAGGTAATTACAAAGAGCCAGTATTGTTTTGTTGCGGTAACGAAGAGATGGACTATGAGCAGATATGTACTTGAGGCATGAAGCCATCGCGGTGATGTGTTTGAGCGAATTGACTCCCTTGTTCCCTGCGACTATCTGTCCATGTTGCGTGTATATGCATCTCCGGCAGTCTTCCGCCAACAGGGACTATCATGATTCCTGCCTCCCTCCGATTTGGGGGGCCTGGCTTCTGTGCTTCGGATCATGGAAACCATCCACCTCGCTTGTTCTCCATCCTCTTTGCGTGGTGATTGGCAGGATGACAAATCGCAATATTTGGAGAATATGGCTTGATACCAAGTTGATGGTGCTTTGAAGGTATTTAAATCTCGGCATCTTTCGTCATCTTGCCATCCATCGATCTATCAATCTATCCGTCTATCGACTGATCAGTTTCTCTCTCTCTCTCTATCCAGCCATGGCCACCAACGGAAC